TGGGGGGGAGGGAGGGGTGGAGGGAGGGAAGGAGATGTGTAGAGTAAGGGAGTAAATTGGGCTAGAATATACATAAAAAACTTTTTTCCCAAAAGTATATACAAGAATCTGTTAACAACAGTTACCACTAAGGAATGGGTCAGGGAGAGAAGGGTTTTTTCATTTTATACCTCTCTGTACAGTTGGGATTTCTAACTATTTACAAGCATTATTCCTTGTTTCTTAAAAAGGAAGTCAATGAAGATTGTCTTGTAGAATTATGAGACATTTTCATTTTCTTCCTTTACTCTTTGTTAAAAAAACCTAGTACTCACCACTATTTTTTCTTTACCAAGTCTGTAATTCTGAAAAATAACCTAGTTTTCTTTTAGGTACATACATAATTGTTTGAGATGGAAAACATAACACCAGACAGGCACATACACACAGTATGAGTAGGCTAAATCAAATTTAAAAAATGAAACCTATTAACTTTTATAGCAATTTTTATACCTTGACCCATATAGTATACAATTTAGTCAATCAAGTTGTTAATAGCTGTAACAAATATTCAATGCCTCAGATATGTTCAAATGATTTTATATTTTTCTAGCACACGGTGAGAAATATCCCATACACCAGAAAACTATAAATTGGGAGAGAGTAAAAAAATAAATAAATAAAGTAGAATATTACCAGTATTTAAAAATAATAAGGTAGTAAAAACATGAAGTAATCTTTAGATTCTTTAATTCCAGGCAATCAAGAGCATATTAATATAACTGAATTTTTCCCTTCAAACCAATTCTGCCGCCATTTCTTTAAGTGTATGTCACCTACTTAGTAACGCAGACACTAAAATGGAGATTCTCACACAGATGGGCATCAGAACAGAAGCCAGGAAGAAGCTAAGGGCCTTACTCCATAGCGGGAAAGGCAGAAGGGACTATGCCAAGAGCTCACCATCCCTCTTCCTCCATACAAAATTAAATCACTTAACTTTGCTGTTATCCTGAGGAATTCCAGAGCATAAAAAGGTTAAGTAATAACTAAGTCTTGGAGTAAAAATTAACAAACTTACTATAGTAGTAATGACTTAAAGGATGAATTACTATTATTAAGCTTTAGGAATTCAGAAGCCGAGGTTCCAGTCTTAATTGTGCCACAG